AGTGGCCCAGGTACTTCCTTCTCTCTCTCTCTTTTATTTCTATTTCAGTTCTGTTTTCTTTTTTTTTAATTCTTTTGCCACTGTTTTGAATTAAAATAATAATTCAAACAATGCCAAAGCTCCTCTGAATATTTTATATTGCTAGATGAACTTTTCCAAAAGCTTATAAAATATTTCAGGGGGTATTTGAAATTATATTCTAATTATATGAATATAATTCAAATTCAAATAGCTAATGAATTAAATCCAAAGTTCCAAAAATAAATCCTTAAAAATGTTCAATATTTTGGTTGGGACCAGAACCCTTACCAAAAATTATCAAACATTTAAGAAGAGCCTTTTGGAGCAATGAATGAGATTTCTAGGGTTTTTGCCCCTCTTTTATTTAGGGTTTTGAGGCTTCCAATGTTCCTCAATTCAAGTTTCAAAAATATAGACATGATGCACACATGAAGCTAGCCTAGAGCAATGCCAGAAACTAGGGATGTGACAGCCTACTCCGACGAGTGTGACCGGGCGAGAGGGATATCGTTTGTACCACACAGACGCCACGGCATGTAGCACCTCGACCCGTCGCCTTTCTCGCTCGCTGGCTCGCTCGCCCGTAGTGCTCCACGAGCGCGCGCGAGAGGGGTGGTGCCGGTGCCGGTGCCGTGGCGTCGTTTCACGTAGTACGTTTGGAATCATGGACCAGGAGGACGACAGGAGAAGCGACGGCGTGTGCGAGGACGGGGAGGCACGCACGGCGGCACGCGCAACAGCGACACTGCTTTCGGGAATGGCTGATGTGGGTACTTGGCGCCACTAGTGCATTCAGTAGTCGATCGATCGGTCGCACGATGGGTGAAGCAAGGCTTTTGACTTGGGCATCGGCGTGCTACGTGTCGCTTGTGCTTTAATATTGCGGTGAAGATATGTGGTGTTGTGATGGGGATGTAGTTTTCAGAGAACTGTTTTGTGCGTTCGAACGGATAAGGACTGGAGCGAGATCTCCTGGTAGGACCGGAAGGGTCGGTGCCCGCTGCTGGTTTGCTTAGCCTTTAGTGAACTGTACTCTGTTTTGGTTTTCTATTTGTGTTTCATTTCAGGGAGAGTGGTCTATAAATAATTTCCAGAGGTTCTAAAGGACTTGCCTTTTATCATATAATTTTTTTTTAAGAATTAAAGACTTTTTTAGCGGAACATGGTTCTTTATTCATTCAAAACATTCATTTGTAGTTAGGTAGCTACACTACAAGAGGATTTTGGAAACTTTTTGGAAGCTTCCTGGTCGATTTCTATCTATAGCTTTTCTTTTATATAGTTTTTATATAGCGTTTTCGTTTTTTCCTTTTCTGATAATGTTTGTAAATTCCAAAATTTCTTTGAATTACTCAAAAATTGTTCAGAAAATTTGAAAATTGTTCAAAAATGTAAAAACGTTTCAGATATTTATAATTCATTTGTAGTTTTTTGTAAAATGTTTGAAATTTTCAAAAAATGTTCGCAATTATGTAAAATGCTGAAAATAGAAAATATTCAGAATTTTGAATAATGATTGGTAATTATTTAAGAATTTTTTTTCAAAAAATGTTCTCCTTTTAAGAATTTCCAAAGCAAAACAAGAAGTCCTGAAATTTGGTTATAATCATCGCCTCTGTGCAAATGCCCAACATCTTGACGCACAAAGCATCATATATGGAGTCCCGTCCCAGAGGAGCCTTATGCAGTGTTGCCACTGATCCAAAGCATCGCACAACGGGCTGGACCGGTGTGAGGGGTGAGCACACGCCTCAAGCCACTGGGCTGAAACCAAGGCCCCGGAACCATTGGTTCTCGAAGAAGAACAAAGGATTTTGCCTTTGGGAAAGCTTGCCGGAGTTCACCATGACTACTAGATTGGGGTATTGATTAGAACCAAGCCAATGACCGTTGATCGCGAGGTTGGAAACTTGGCTTCCGCGTCGCAGAATACAAACAGGCAATTGAGCACACTTCTAGTTGGGGTCTTGGGGCCACGGTGGCTATATCTTGCTTGTGGCGAGATATATGCTCCCCTCGCTTAAAGCTTTGCCTGCGCGGAATAGTATAGGGCCAACCCATTTTGTATCGTTCAATCGCTCGCTCGCATTCACCGTCTTCATTCGCTTCTATTTTTATTTTTATTTTTGTTTTATTTGATTTATTAGTTTCCTCTATTTTCTGGTTTCTCCAATTTTCTTTTTTTATCGGGTTTCATTGGTTTTTTCTTGGTTTTCACAGGTTTCTTTTCTTTTCTTTCTTTTTTTCTTCAGATTCCTTTCTTGGGTTTGATCCTTTCTCTTCATTTCTTCCTCGGTTTCACTATTTTCCACTTTTGCACTGGTTATGTTCGGTTTTCTGTTTTCTTTGGTTTCCTTTTTTTGGTTTTTCTTTGTTTTTCTTTTTTTTTACTTTTGGTTTTATTGTTTATTTTCTTTCTCTTTTTGTATAGAAAGAGATTTTTTAGAAATGTTTAACATTTATTCAAATACATGAAACATTTTTTGCATACATCTGAAAATACATTGTGTACCCATTGAACATTTTTTGAAATACATGATTAACATTTCTTTCCAAAAATATATTTTTGATGTCAACTTTTTTTCATACACATTCTAATTTTCCGCATACATCTGAAACATTTTTTGTGTAGATGTTTAAAATTTCTCAAATATTTTTCTACCGTTTATTTTATTTCTATTCTTTTGCATAAACATTATACCTTTTTGTATACCCTTGGAACATTTTTGTGTACAATTTTGACATTTTTCAAGTATAATTACATTTTTTTAAACATGTATTTTTAATATCTATTTTTTCGCGTACACATTCTACATTTTTGGTATACATCAGGAACACTTTTGATATACATGTTTAACATTTTTAAAATACATGATTTGTATTTTTTAAAGCATATAATTTTTGTGTATAATTTTTCCCATACCTGTTGTAATTTTTCTGTATACATCAGGAATATTTTTTATATATGTTTATTATTTTCTAAATATATAATTAACATTTTTTTTCATATATATGTTTTTATTTCTATTTTTACACACACATTGTACATTATTTGTATATATCAGGAACATTTTTATACACCTTTTAGATTTTAAATACATGATTAAAAAAAATTCATATAAATGTTGGATGTTTAATTTTCATCTTACATATTATACAATTTTTGAATACATTAGAAAACAGTTTTCTATACACGTTTAATATTTTTCTAAATGCGTGATTTACATTTTTCAATTGAGTATGTAAAGTGATTTTTATAATAGATATACTGAAAATATTTCGGAATATAGATGTGAAAATAAAAGTTGAAGGCCTGTGGTCCCTGCAGGGCTCACACGTCTGGCTGTTAGCGAGACATAGTTGTGCTCGGTCTGGGCGAGTTTTTTATGTTATTGAAATCGCCGCTTAGGGCAAGTTTTTTTTTCAAGAAATTTTCGATCTACTCATCTCTAATCATGGCAGTACAACGAACACAATAAATAATAAAAATTATATTCAAATTCATAGACCACCTAGCGACGAATATAAGCACTGAAGCGAGCTGAAGGAGCGCCGCCGTCATCGCCCCTCCCTCGCCAGAGCCGGGCACAACTTTTTGTAGTAGACAGTCGGGAAATCGTCGTGCTAAGACCCCATAGGACCAACACATCAGAATAGCAACCACTGCCGATAAAGAGAAGTTTAGATAAGAAGGATATAACCTGAAGACACATGAACAAAGCCCGGATCCGAGCGGATCCACCAAAGACAACCATGAACTGAATCCTATGAGATCAGGCGAAGACACACCTCCACACGCCCTAGACGCACCACCGGGACAGGGGCTAGGCGAGAAGAACCTTATTCCATCTTCAAGAAGCCGTCACCGTCTCGTCTTTCTGAACAGGACATAGACTCCAACAAAACTTGAATAAGCACATAAAAATGTAGCTCTCCCATCGGCAAGGACTGGAATTCACGCTCACCCATGACACACATAAAATCGTAGCCCTCCTATCGGCAAGGACCGGAATTCACGCTCACCCATGACACTAGGGCCACAGGAGACGTGGCAGATCGATAGGGCCACCGGCGGGTGGCAGAAACCCTATCCGCGGATTACAAAAGGGGCCGCTGCTCTGTGGCTTCTTCCGCTTAGTTCGAGTTCATTGTTCGTCCACGTGAATCTGGCACCAGATCGGATTTATCCCTAGCCCCTCGCAGCAGGTTAAAATCCCCTCCTACCAGCACCCATCCCTTGTACTCATTCGAGTACTTCTAAAAGAAAAAAGGGACAGGATGGTGTCCATCCCCATTCCTTGTGCCGCCGTTGATCGTTAAACCCCAGGGAATATTAAGCGTACGTACGTCGGTACGTGTACAAATCAGAACGCGGCGGAGCGGCTCTAGAAGCAACCTCGCACGTCACCGGCAGCGAGCAACGACGACCTGGCACTTCTCCTCGGCCCGCACGCATGCTGCGCTACCACATACATATATACCACCTACCTCAGATGGACGCCAAGCGAGAGACCAAGCCGCGGCTTCCATCGCAGCCCTACCGGTTGATAATTCAGAAGCGTCGATGTCGGTAGGCAAGAAGCCGTCGCCGTCGACGTCGCGGCACAACGCGGAGGAGGCCGTCCAAGAAGTAGAGGGAGGAGACAACGGCCGCGACGTCGCCGTGATGCAGCGCAAGGAGAGCGGCAGCAGAAGCGGCGGGAAGAAGGCCGCCGATCAGCGGCGGTACAGGCGGTGCTTCTCGGGGCTGGAGATCAGCATCGGTCCGGGCCCGCTCAAGGACGTCGACGCCGGCAAGCTGAAAGGCCAGATCAGGAAGTGGGCCAGAGCCGTCGTGGGCTACGCGCGCCAGCTCAGCTTCGGCTCGCCGAGGTCCTCCCCTCGCAAGTCAGGCGACGGCGTCGGCGCCACGCCGAAGTCGGCGGCCGTCCGGTCCAAGTATGGCCTCAGCGGCGCCAGGAGCGACCCTCCCTCGGCCGTGCTGCCACCGTGAAAGCTTTGGTAGCTTAGAAGAGTACTCCTTGACCGGTCGGTTGCGTGTGACCATGAAGAGTTATGCAGCTTCTTCCTTTCTTCCTCCCATCTTATAACAGTAAAAATTTATCTCTTTCGGTTGAGTATAAGATTCTTTGATTTAATTGTTCGTGCGTAGATACCAGATATGTACATGTTTAATAATAATGATTTAGTCCTACCATGGATGCTTCAGTTGCAGCGTTACTAAATCCATACGGAGCAGTCTCGATCGCTTTGTAAACTTAATTATTTGTCTACCATTGATGGTGCGGTGATATTCTACCACCTTTCACTATGAGCAGTATCATAAACTAGTATTATGCACATGATACTATTTAATTATGTGCATATTGCTAATTTATGATAAGAACTCCCCAATGCATAGTATATACACTATAATCATATTATCATTATTTTATCATTTGTAGAACTATAATATAAAGTTATGGTTACAATTTAGTTTTTAATATAATTTTCTCGTTTGTTGTATTATGATATTGCATTATAATACGATATTACAATCATCTTTCACATTATTAAATGCAGTGTCATGTCATATTTTTCACTTAGATGCCAATGCTTATGATACTCTCATTAATGCTCTATCCATTCCTTTTTTTCCTTTGCTCGTAACTTTAATCACTCAGACCAAGGAAAGCAAAAGGTAACTTAGAATCAAATTGGATGGACGATTATATCCCTCAGTTCTTAAACCGATCTCTCTCCCCGACGGCCTTCAGCAATAACTGTTGTTGCATGATCGAGCAACCCTCGAGGCTCGGAATATTTTTGTTGCATACCATCTCCAAACCTCCATCCGTGCATACCCGATGTCGTCAGCTGCCACTTGTCTAATTGAATCATCGGACAACATGCTTTCCTGAGAACAAGTATAATAAAGTGATGTAAGCAAGCTATAAGGATCAAAATATAATATTTTCGCTGAGTTGGATGAGAGTGAGAATGAGAGAGAATGAAAGCGAGTTGAAGAATAAGCGTCAGCTCCAGCACGGACTCCAAGAAACATTGTGAGAGTGTAAGATGAGTCATCTACTAATAAAGTAGTACTTCTTTGTATCCAACTACCATACATGTTGGCTATTAGGTTGACTATAGATGACATGGCAACAAGGTATGGCTATAACTTAGCTCTACTATTAACCAATGCTCTAAGCTCACGATACTTATCCCTTTGGATCATATCGAGACGCTCCTAGCTTCTCCTGGCTCCGTCCCATGTAGTATCGATGTAGGAAGGCCATGACCTATCTCCTACAAGAAAGGAGTGATGCATCTGGCTGAGGCGCAGTCGGACGACAACCATGGCCGAGCGTCACTTCGCCGAACAGAGTGTTGGCAGCGACACTCTCCTCCATCCTCCATGTCTACACCCGCGACTCGTGGCCTCCATTACCAAAGCGGTATACTCGCTGAAGTGCAATCAAGATCGGTGCCAACCTTGTGCAACATAGCCGGATCAGACATATTAATATTCGTCATCATTTTCTCTGAGATCATGTTTCAGTGAAGACATTGAGATATTTCATGTTGGCGCTAAGAAGCAATTTACCGATGTTTTCACCAAGCTGCTTGATGAGCAAGGTTCTGTGAGTTAAGGCACGAGCTAAATATCATCGAATCGAGTAACATGGGTTGCTAATTTTGCATACACACATGAGCTCAACTAGTATGTTATTCAGATGTAGGCGGATACCTCTTTTTATTGATCCGGTAGTGAAATAGAAAAGTGTATCCCACACCTATTTCTCCAGAGGTGACCGTGGGTTATCGAACCCACGAGAGGAAGATTCCCTTGAAATGATGGTCTCTAGCAAGCTTTTGTCAAAGTGTCAAATTCAGCTTTTGACCGGATCAAGCAAGCAAATAGTGATTTAAACACTTATAATAAAAAGAGGTACGGGTATGAGGTCTTAATGCTTACAACCATGTATTTGTGTTGGGATCAGATATGATCTTAATTTGTGCGCTGGAAGTCACCTGTCGAGATGTTCTTGTTACGGATCGAAGTTGGGGATGTGTCCAAATAAGATATTGACCGACACAAGTCCTGCATCAAGAATCAGTTGTCCTATCACATGCCCTATTCGTCGCGTGGGGTTGCCTCGATAATTAAGATAACAAATCAGAAAAGAGCTTTGCGCGTTTAATGACTACACCTCATATATCCTCAAGGATATGATCCATGTTACCCCTACTGAGCCTTACTGTCACTAGTGTTCGGCATAACACTTGATGGTCTCATCGCTCCTAGCATCACCGGTGCTCGATCTCCATGATCCTGGGTACCTGCAGGGATGAAGATTGCGGACAAGACAAGTGACATCTACGAAACAATTTTCTTTCACACATACAGGACCTTATTTCCAAGCCCTTGATCCCCACTACCACAAGAAATACTGAGGGTTGCATGGCTCATGTCTCAACCCACACCTTACCAAATTACTCACGCATGGAGATCATATCGCGAGAAGAAAACATTGAAGAACACATCTTGAAGATTGATTGATTGCAAATATGTCTTACAACGGATGCCTTGTGCGATGCACGATTACAAGTATGAACTAGATAAGGAAGTACTATGGTGGTGATGGTGGCTATGGAGATGGAAATGGCGGCGGCTAGGGTTTATAGATGGAGAGGATGATGAAGGTGTTCTGGCTGCTGATGACGCTCTTCCCGTGCTCATTCTGGTGACATTTCGATGGGGTCCCCTTTATAAAAGTTGTACGAGTGGACGATGTACCTCGGTTTCCACGCTGTGTACAGGCGCACCAACGTCGTATTTTGCTCTGTTTCTGCAGATACGCCTCCCGTTGATTCCTTCTTCTTCCATTCTCCTTTCTTTCCATCTCCACACTTGATTTCTTCTCTTTTAGCCCATTTCTAGTGGAAACACATCAAAGAGAGGATTTGTGGAATCCTCTGCATTCATTAGTCATTAGTAGCAATATCAGAGCGAATATCTCTTTCTAAATGAAATATCTCGGTTTAAACAAAGGTGAATGAGTGTAAAAATATCACTCATCACAGTCACATAAGTAGTGTGGGATGGGGGTAGCTTAATTCGTGATCATACCTAGTAGTGCATAAATGAATTATATCTTTCACACAAGTCATTTATCATGACACATGTGCTTAAATATGATAGTGGTGTTGAGCCCAAGGTTCTTTTCTACGCGATGCCAAACCTAATTACTCAGACATGCTGCCTTCATCCACCGTCCTACTAGGAGGTTGGATCTTAATTGGTTCTTATTTGAGTATTTTAGACCCATATGCCACTATATGCTAAGTATGATAGTTGCACTCATCATTTGTTTTTTGTTTCTTCCTACAAATATGAGTGTATAAGATCTCTATACTCCAATTTAGTACGTTTCTGTCCAAAACCCTTGTGTCTATCTAAGGCATGCTTTTACCCTTTCAAGATGTCCTCTTTGGTCATACCATATGGTATTGGGTATATTTTCGGCATGCACAAGGTCCTTCAGATTACCTCTTTGGAAGCTTGGAATTTTTTGGTCACTCGGGAGCCTTCCCCTAAAGTGGCTTCTCGAGCCTCTAGACACCCCATGTGCACGAGGTTTGTACTGTGTGCACGGAGCTTTGTGCACACGGGGTCTTTAGCTCATGCACACAGGGTAGCAATTTTTGGGTTGGTAAGAAGTGGTCCGCGAGAGGGTTAGGGTTCCCACTCCTCACTGACCCCACCCCTTTCGTCCTGTGACGCTTTTGCAGCCACTGTTGTCACCTCGACCTTCTCTGCATGACCCCATGCCCACAGATTCCTTCCTCGATGTCATTTCATCACTATGTTGGGATCCTCTGGTTTGTGGTCATTTCCATCCAATTAGATTCGTGAATCCTCTCTGAAAATTCTTTCAAATTTCTATAGTTTCATAAAAATTGCATGAGTACTTCATCTTGTATAGATTTAGTTGGTTCAAAATGGTCTAATCCACTCGGGATGGTAGTATGGCATCTCCCTCTTTCCGGATCCGTCTAGGAAGACGGCGCCGCACTACGCCGTGTGCATGGGGTTTGAGCCCCTTGCCCATGGGACCCAGTGCCTACGGGATCGGTACTGTGCGCATGGGACCCCATGCGCGCACATGAGGTATCCAGAGGGGATTCGGCTACTTCTTTTCAACTTTGTCATCTATCCGCTTAATTGAACTCATATACTTGTCCATTCTGCTTATCTAAATCTATTCTTAGGTTCATTCACTAGGGAGATCAGGCACTCTCGTAGAAAGAAGGCCAAGGGCTTATCAAGCTCCTCATAGTTCATGTCACAGTCTTGCAAGTATTTCAAGGGCTAAGGTACTTCTACAACACCTCATACCAGCAAGGCGCATCGGGCAGCATCGAAAAAGCATGTTATTGAGCAGTCTGAGTCCGAGGATAATTCTGACTCGCAAGAGGATGAAACATATGTGTCAGATGGAGGCCAGAGGGATGATGATAATCAGTTGTCTGATGAGGTTGAAATTCAGGGGGATGATGAGGATGCAGAGAACTTGGCTACAGATTATTGTCATGAGCCTGACTATTGGGCTTATCACAATGAGAATATGTACATCTGAGGCACGTATCCGTGTGTAGATCCCCGGTTCCAGAAATTCTAATAAATGTGGGTTGACAATGAGATTCTCTTAATAAAGAAGGACATGTTGGCACACCACAAGTATATCGATGTGGAATATGTGCGGAACAATTCACATTTATAACCAGAAATATACAATATTCTTGATGACATGGGATCATCTCATTTATGAGATTCAATCAGATGTTGAGTGAGGAGCTTGGCTATAATTCTCTGCCACTGCCTGGTTTGGCAATGATAATGCTAGAACCTTGCATTGTATGTGAGGTGATAGGCACTGTGGTGCTCCTATGACATGATACCGTTCGTTCTAGAGGAGAATCCTGAGTATATGGCCATGTTAGGGAGCC